TTTTTGTTTTTTTCCCCCCCCCCCCCCTGCAGACCAGAGTGATTGGGCAAAAGGGATTGCAAGAAAGTAAGCTGTTTACAGCTTACAGTACTCTCTTGAAATCTCTTCCTCTCCACTCTGCCAGGCTGGGGGGAACAAGTGATTTCTGTAGAGGATACGCAGTTTCTGTAGCGTGCCTGTGGTGCGACCACATTGCTTTCGATGTGTACAAGGCACTAAGCAGGCACTCAAGCATTCCAAAGGGTGGGGAGCAGTTTGGAGGCAAACAAATCCAAAGGTATGAAACTGAGTAGTCTTGTCTCCAGCGGGACAGCACAGTCATGGTCATGTAATTTCCCACTTAGCCACCACTTCACTTAGTGGCAGAGTTGCTGGTCCCACTTCAGATCATTAAGCAAGAACTACCTGAACACAACGCAACATAGTTAACTTGAAAACTGAAATAGGATGTGAAGCTTTGAAAAAGAGAAGGTGAAAATGGGCCCTGGGGGAATACTTAAATTAATTATGTGATTGAATTTTATAAATATTTAAGTGAATTGTAAAATTGCAGTGTGCTTCATTGTACATTTTCTCTGTTATCATTTGAAATCCCAAAGCCACGTGGAATTAATTTACTTACCAGCCTTCTCCAAAACTGGACACATTCCAGACTTAAGGATTTTAGTTCCCACAATTATCCCACAAGCATGTCCATTGCTGAGAATTCTGGAAGATGAAATCCACATATCTGCAGGGCACCAAGAGTTGGGATGACTGATATAAATTGTTCATTTGTGTCAGACATAACGCATAGAAAAGGCATGTGCTGTTTTCTTAGTTGTTCAGAATTTACTCAAAATTGCTTTATTAAATAATAAAGTCATTTAGAGTCCCATTCTGCAACAGGTAATAATGCTTTGCTCTTGATTGTTAGGGGTCCTATTACACACTTGGAATACAAAATCAGCTGTGGCCAACTTGAGGTATCAAGAGAGAAAAGCTTACTGGTTTGGTTCATAGGTAAGTTAAGCATATTTGGCCCCATCTGATCTAAGGAAGGGCTGAAGTTTGTTTGGAAACACCTTGCCGGCTGCTTTGTTTACTAATGGAGTAAAGAATATATTTTGTGTTGTGTTTTATATCTTATTCCTGACAATTTCAATTACAATGGGAAAAATTCCTACCCAAAACTCTGGAGGACTGCTGATAGTACTGTATTGACAATACTGGGCTTAAACAGAGCAGTGTACATACAGCAGCTTCCCATGTTCTTAAAAATATCCTAGAGATCTCTGATAAACCAGGAATTCTGTCACCTAGGCCTATGGCTATCTTCTCTGTCTGGAAGGAAATTGAGCTGCCTTTTAAAGAGCATATTCTATCTCACCATCTTTCAAGCAACTTTTTTCCAAAGTAGATGAGATCAAGAGGCATGAACAATCTCTTTTGCAGCTAAATGTGCACTTTGGGGGGCCTTCAAAGGCCACAGAGTGTATGCAAGGTTATGCTCAAAATCCTACAAGCTAGGCTTCAGCAATACATGAACCGAGAACTACCAAATGTACA